TTTTCAAGTTCTATAGTAAAAATATCAAATATTAATTTTTTTGTGTGTTATTATTAATAATAATGTGTTTTAAGTAACAAAGTTTAGTAAAATATGTCTGAAAAACTGAAAAAAAACAACAAATACTAATGAAATTTAACCACCGTAAGATTTTAAACTGGTGCCAACCTCCGTCATATTTTTTCAGATCATTATAATACTTATGCATTACTCTTGTCAAGTTAAAAGAATCATGCAAATTTATTCAACTAAATGCTGTAAACAAACATTTAAGTTTGATCCAAAATCTGCAATAACAAGTGGTAAACAATAGACAAAGCCACTAAATATCATTGCATTGGAAAAAATAAATTTACAAAACATAACTTTTGGGCAAAAAACTTCATAGTTACGAATTATTTAAAATTAGAGAACATTATAATATATGAATTCTTTAAAATTAGAGAACATAATAAAGTATACTTTTTTATAGACATATAAATATGTCTATATAATAGTATATCTTATATTATTCATACAAAATAATTTGAATGGCAATAGGTGTAATCAAACAAATAAATACATTGACTGAGGGAGCTGTTTTGGATCAAAGTTTGAAATGATTACAGTATTGTTAAGGGGTAGTAAACTATTTAATCGTCAGTTAATCATCACAAGAAAACAATGGTTTTTAAAAACGATTGTAATTTACCCATTCACAGCATTTCCACCGCTACGGTATTTTAAAGCTTAAAAATTCGCTTTAAGAATACCGACAAAAAAGATAACAAAGCTTGAATGTAACTTGTTTATGAAAAGAAAAATTTTTGTTATAGTTAACATTTTTTTACATTTTACACGTTACATAATGTTTGTTATGTTAAGTAACAAGAAGGATATAGACGTTATGTAACAATATTTCATGTTATGTCTCAACTTTGTAATAACATTCTTAATTATTTTTCTGCTTTGATGCACATTACAACACATTCTTATAAATGTCATAAACAATTGTTTCAAAAGTATGCGTATTACAAACTCGTTGTCAAAAAAAAAGGCTATTCAAAAAAGGTAAAGTTGTTTTATATATATATATATATATATATATATATATATATATATATATATATATATATATATATATATATATATATATATATATATATATATATATATATATATATATATATATATATATATATATATATATATATATATATATATATATATATATATATATATATATATATATATATATATATATATATATATATATATATATATATATATATATATATATATATATATATATATATATATATATATATATATATATATATATATATATATATATATATATATATATATTCTAATTTGTTTGCGTTAGTGAGTATGTGTATACATTTAAATTAATATAAAACTACATCACACGCTCTAATTGGAGGGCAAATTTGCAAATGGACCACCTAAGTAAAATAAGGTGGTCCATTTGCAAATGTAGAGGCCCTTTTTAAAAATTTAAGGAGCTTTTTTACTTTTTTGTTCTAATTTTTTTTTACCTATAGGAAGCTTATACCTTTAATACCTAGTGTAAACTTTTTTTACAAAATGGGAAACTTATCTATTTTATCTTATTTAATTTATTGAATAAATAAAATTTTAAATTGTAATAAAGAACAAATATATATATATATATATATATATATATATATATATATATATATATATATATATATATATATATATATATATATATATATATATATATATATATATATATATATATATATGTATATATATATATAATATATACAGTGGCGGAACTACTGGACGCAGGACCCTGCGTTGTGGAGGGGCCTACCAGCTATAGGGGGCCCTCATATAAAAAAAGTTATACTCTCAATAATATTTATACTATAAAACTCTTTTCCGCAAAAAAAAACATTCTTTTGCGGGGGGGCCCAAATTTTGAAGTTCCGCCACTGAATATATATATCCTCTTTTTTATATTTTTGTTCTTTATTACATTTTAAAATTTTCTACAATAAATAACTTCGTTGAAAACCAACAAATATGAACGGGTTAAAATCAAATATACAAATAAACAATGTAAAAGATTAAAAATGTTAAAAATAGAAAAAAAAAATACGACTTACAAATTACAATACACTGTCTTAATTTCCTTTTCAAATTTTTTTATTTTATTTTATTTTACCAAGAACACTTTTCGTTTAACTTTTTTTTGATTCTTTTCTTTTTTTTTAACCTATTAAAACGTAATTGTTTCATCTATGATCTGAAACTAATTCAGAAAATTAGAATTATTACTATTTTTGAGTTTTTTAAGTTCTTTAGTTCTTTAAATCGCTCATAATGTTGTTTTAGAAAAAACTTTGTTCACTTCAAGTGCTTTATTTGCGCAGTATATTTTCCATTAACAGACGAGTTTTAATAATCCCTTGATAAATTTAATCTGCTTTTAATACAATATAATTGAACAACAGTTTCAGACATTGATTACATAATAATAATAGTATGTCAAATAAGAATGATCTGCGAAAATAAAAATGATTGGAGTCTGGAAACAAAACAAAAAACTCTCTCAGTTCGAGGTGATTTGTAACTACTTAAAATGAGAGGGTTTAAACATTATATTATCATAATTTTTAAACCCTAAGTGATTTTTAAAAAATTTCACGTATATAAACTTAGTTGAGAATAGTAAAAAAATATTTTATGAACATGTTGCTCTCACGTTTTAGTCGCGGAAAGAGGGGGCTGTAAAGATGTTTGGTTTTTTTTTTATTTTTAGGCTACAATCATCAATATTTAACATCCTTAAGTCATCCTTATTTAACAAAGTATAAACATATAAATACTTGGAGTTTGCTTCATGTCTAGAAATCTCACACACAACATTTGTTTCTTAAATTTTAGGATTTTGGCAACAAAGTAATTCTTAATCTTGGTGCAACTTTAATTAGGAGAATGATCATCATATATAATGATCTTGGTGCAGCTTTAACCAAGAGAATGATCATCATATAAAATGATCTTGGTGCAACTTTAACCAAGAGGATGATTATCATATATAATGATCTTCGTGCAACTTTAAGCAAGAGAATGATCATCATATATAATGATCTTGGTGCAACTTTAACCAAGAGAATGATCATCATTTATAATAATCTTGGGCAAAAATTATGACATTTCGGTGTTATCACTAAGTTATTTAATTTATTGCCAAGATAGTTTGTGGTTCATTTTTATTTTTAAGTAAATTAGAATTTTTTTGCAGTTTTTTTTATTTTCTATTTTTTGTAGTATTTTCTGTCTGACTTCGTAATGATCCAGGATAATTATTTTGGCAGACCTCAAAATTTTAAATGGCATTAATTAACATTTTAAAAATTGCATCGAATATTGTTTAGAATAGCACTGAGTATTGTTAATTTTTTTTTACTATATGAAGCCATTACATATATTCCGTTTATCCATAACATTACATCAACTACATCTGTTCCGTTTTTAACTTAATTGGTTGAATAAATACTAATATTTGCATGTTTCAAATTTTTTTTAAAGAAACAAACAGAGTACGCGGATGCGTCTTCAAAACATATTATAATGTAAATAAAATTAGCAGTACTAATTTTATTTTGTTAAGGTGGTAACGGTTGTAGAGCGAGGTTAGTTAAGCAATTTTTACAATATTCAACAGATCTCAAGAATGGTGCATTGGATCTACATAACTTTTCGATATTAATAAGATAATTTAACAGTGTTAAGAAAAAAGTTTATATTTTTAATTTTTTGTGAGGATATAGACTAAAATTTACCTGACTACTCAACCTGCCCTAACGGTGAAAGTTAAGCAACTGTATGGGACAAGTTGAGCAATCAACGAATAAATAAATATGCATGATATAAATTTGAATAAATTATCAATAAAACTATCGTTAATACCAAGCGTGTTCATAATTTTTATAAATTTTTTATTTTATACACTTTAATGACGTAAAAAAAAGTATAGAAAAAATTAAATAGTAAGAAAGATCTAAAACTTTAAAGCCCACGTTAAAATTTAATAGTTAAAAAAAAAGATGTTTAACATATACCGCAAATTTCTTTTTTATGAAAATTGTTTCTTTGTGTGTAATAGTTTACTTGTTTTTTTCAAAGCTACTTAACTTACCCATACTACGTGACACATTAGTTAGAGAAAAAAGAGAACAAGACATAAGTACAAATGACGTATTATAATCGAACGTCCTGTAAAATGGTAAAACACAAATACTTTAGTGATGGTAGATAATAAAATTTATTAGCATTAAAAAAAAAAAAAAAAAACTTTTTTTACTTTTTTATTTCAAAAACAAAAAATGTTGATGATGGGGAAAAGAAAGAAAAAAAAAAAAAAGAAAAGAAAAAGGAATTGCGCTACCATTCTAAACCCCTAAATTTTATCCATAAGATGTTTGTCACGTGATGCATAGTTTTTGAGGTATTTTACTTTTCCAACTTGCCCGTACTCTCAAATAGTCCCGCTGTTTATTCTTTTTTTGTTTTTTAAAAAGTATGAAAGAATTTTTTTTTATTTTTAAAATTCTAACAGTTTGAACAAACTGATCATAAATACCTATTTACTTTACTTTAAAAATTAACAAAAAGCCCGAAATTAGTATTCAAACTCTAAATTAAAATCCGTTTTAGCCAGAATTCTAGCCCGATTTTTTATTTTTACTTCTTTTCGGGTCAAGCCGGAAAAACAATTTTTATGGAATTTATTTTTTACCTCTATTTTTTAATACTTGTGACACAGACTGTCTAATTTAAATAAAAAAATAATTGTCCAACAGGGCAATTGAGAGCTATTGTTAAACCTAGGTAAATATATATATATATATATATATATATATATATATATATATATATATATATATATATATATATATATATATATATATATATATATATATATATATATATATATATATATATATATATATATATATATATATATATATATATATATATATATATATATATATTTCGCCGTTTAAATATTGCTGCAATACCAGAATGTATAAATAAATATTTACATGGCTGTGGCAAAAAGAAGAAAACAATAGACTTACCAATAAGCCCCGTCGTTTACATTGCATTTTTACATTACAAGCAGTTATTTTTTAACATAAATATTTTATAATACCGTTAAAAATTTATTAACATATTAACTGACAATCTCTTTTTTTGAAACAAAAATATTACCTGCCTCTCTTAAAATAGTCTCTTTTTAAATGTTAATCAAATTTTAAACAGATAAATTGCCTATGACAGTTAATATTTTAATTTTAATCTAAATGTCAAAATATAAAATAAAGAAATAATTTTAAACATAAATATTATGCAGGTTAAGACTTTCAATACATAAAGTTATTAAAACAAATAAAAACAACTGATAATATTTAAATGAAACTAGACTCAAATTAATAAAATATGATATATATATATATATATATATATATATATATATATATATATATATATATATATATATATATATATATATATATATATATATATATATATCATAGGTTAAAAATATACATTATATAGCCACGATGTTAAGATGCAGACTTTTACTTTGATCTCAAGATAAAAAATAACATAAATAAATTCTTGTTCTGGCCGGATTTTTATTGATAAATTGGACAAATCCGGTTCAGCCGGATTGTAAAATTTCCATTCTAGTAAACCCCTAGAAGTTAGTCAAAAAGGAGTAACCGTGGCGCAGTGGTAGCGCACTTGCCTCAAAAACAAAGGATCCGTGGTTCAAACCCAGCTCTGGGCAATATTTGCAACATCGGTCAGGAAGGAGGCATGAACTTCCAATTAAATGCTCATCCGCGGTGCTCTGAGATGATATCGTAAGGTTTTCTTAGGGCACATGAACAAAAAAAATAAATAAAAAAACAAACAAATGTGAAACATTTGTTGTGGTTTATGTTTTTAGTTAACTTTAGAAACATGTTTACAAAAATTTAAATCACCTTATAATAGCTTAGTAACTATGGTTTTGGTGATAAACTTCCAAGTTATCTTAAGTAAAATATAAAATTGTGCCCTATGGGTTTCAATTTATAGTTTAATATTAATTATTGAAAACAAAAAACAACAAAAGAAAAAGTAAGAGAAATTTTCGAGGCAACTTTTAAACGAAAGAAATTGTTTCAGAACATTATTTAAGGTGGTACTAGCCCATGAAAAATAAACAGTCATTATATTTAATTTTGATGCAGTTTTAATGTTTTGAAAAAAAGTTGTATTTGTATTAAAGAAGCATTTAGAGTAAACTTAATAAAAACTTTAAATATACTTAAAAACATTCTGGGTCAGCAAAAAATATGTAAATTTAACTACATTTTTAAACAAGTATTTCTCCTGAACTAGTCAATATTTAAGTTCAAAATTTAAATCAAGTTCAAAAAGTTACCACCCCCCTCCCCGATGCAGGGGGGGGGTAACACATATGCTCATAGCAGAGTTGTTAACAAGGCCAAAATTAGCAAAGCCAATGCCAGGCCAAGGTCACTTGGTTCAAGGCCAAGGCCAAGACCAAGGCTAAAAGTAACAAGGCCAAGAACAAGACCAAGGCCAAGAGTCAAGGTCAAGAATAAGAGTTTCAAGGCCACAGTCTACATAAACATTTTCAAGAGCAATGACTTAAATTTTTACCTTACGTTAATTATTTACAAAACGGCAGGTAAAAAATGTTGCAAAAATAAAACCATATGATGTAAAAATGGACCAAGATTATACGCAGAATTCAACAAAGTCAATAAGAAAATATACTTGTAGATATATATGAAAGCCGAAAACATAAATACATGATAATAACGAATGAAAACTTTAGTTCTTTAATTATATATATAATTTTTGAAGGCCAAGTCCAAAACAATTAAGTCCAAGATTAAACTTTTTAAGGCCAAGGCAATAATTTTTGGTCTTAAGGCAACGCTAAAGCCTTGCCTTAAGGCCAAAAATAAAGGCCGTGGAAGTCGTAAGTTACTTTTGATCAATTGTTAAAGTAGAAAAACTGCATGGTCTCCTAAAACACTTTAAATGAAGAAAATATGAAAATTAGATTAGACAAAAAAAATTTAACAAACAACTTTATCAAACTACTAATTTAATAAAAACCTAACTTAAATTATTTTTTTTGCGATTGAATAAAAAAACTAGGCAGTTTTTATATGATCATCAATAAAAACATCCGATGCATAACGTTGAAAATTTAATAAAACAAAACAAAATTTACTCTTAAAAATTAAAATAAGTCAATTTTTGAATTTTGAAAGTAATTAATTCTGATATATTACTTTTGCATACCTTTTTCTAAATGCTGTAATTATGTTCCTGGAGTGGAGTAGATGCATGCAGTTGTATTGTAGTTTGCGAATATAAGTTCACTGAAAAAAAAAATTTACTTTAATCTCTTATTTACATACATACATAACTTACACAGACACACACACACACACACACACACGCACACACACACACACACACACACACATATATATATATATATATATATATATATATATATATATATATATATATATATATATATATATATATATATATATATATATATATATATATATATATATATATATATATATATATATATATATATATATATATATATATATATATATATATATATATATATATATATATATATATATATATATATATATAATATATATATGTATATATATATATTTGCATATAAATATATATATATATATATATATTTATATAAGTATATATATACATATATATATTTATATACTATGTCTACCCACAAGTTAGGACCTCACTATCCCTTCTTTTATTCAGTAAGATTTTTGCCTCGAATAAGTGATGATTGCAGTTCTTAAGTTCTGAAGTTAAATAATCATACCGGACAAGAAAATTATATCTCGTTAAAATTGATGAGTTATAAGTAGTTTTATATTTTTATTATATTCCTAAAAATTAAAAAAATTAAAAAAATGTATATAAAAATTAAAAGATAATATATAAGAATTACTCTCCATTTAACTATAAACTATTGAATAATAAGACGTACATACTTTGTTTTTGTATTAAGCAATAAAGTTAGAAATTAAAAATACATAGATTTGTGTTTAGGTTTAAACAATAAACTACTATTTGCAAGTAACTTTGTGATTGGATATAAAACAAATTTTTTGATTGGACAGTGAACATTTAGGAAAATGTTATTTTTCAATCTTTTTATTCTGCTTGTGACTAATCTTAAGTCTTGTTAAAATACTTTGTTTGAAAGTAGCCTTTTGATTGGTTTTCAAACAAATATTTTGATTGGATACCGAACCTTTAGGAAAATGTTATTGTTCAATCCAATTACTCTTAAAAACACCGTTTGCTAGAACGTAAACAACATGTTTGCTAAAAGGTGTGTAAAAAGCCTGTATTTTGTCCAATTTTTGATTAATTTTGTTGACTATACTTTGTGACTCTTTTTTGTCAATATGGTTTGCGTAACTGTTTGTTTACAATTTCCTATAAATACATTGTCGAACACTAAAACACATGACAACGATCTGATCTGCTAGAGAATAAACAGCAACTCTAAGAAGCTCTTTTAAGGATGACTCTTTTTACAAAGGTGATTTTGCTGGTTTTTATGGAATTAATTACAACACAAGGTTAGATATTTTTATTAAGATTTAATGAAATAAAACTTTAATATTTATTGAGTAGCAAATATATATCAAAACATATCTTTGAAGGACCACGCTCCGGATTAATTAGGAACAATATAGAAGATACTGAAACCAGCAAAAAACACTTCAACCATTGCATTAATTGTATTGGTGATAAACCATTGCTTCTAATAAATACTCAACTCAAAGAATACCACAATTCAAGCTGCAACATTTTTCAAAGTAACTTGAGTGAATGGGTACAGTTCTTTCTGTTTATTGAGTTTTGAGTTTTAGTGTAATTTGGTTTGTCTTTTATAATCATATTAAACCAAATGTTTTTCGTAAACACTTTTTTTTATTTCTTGTAATATTTACTGGTAGAACAAAAAATTTTTTGAGTAAGCAATTTAATAAAAATGATACACTATTTAATTGATATGATATTTCAACTAAATAATGTTAGAGCTGCAGCTACAGTAACAACAACAACAACTACATACATACATACATACATACATACATACATACATACATACATACATACATACATACATACATACATACATACATACATACATACAAACATGCAAACATACAAACATACATGCATACATTCATACATACATACATACATACATACATACATACATACATACATACATACATACATACATACATACATACATACATACATACATACATATATATATAAATACATACGTACATACATACCTATTTACAAATATACCTACCTACCTTCATACATACATACATACATACATACATACATACATACATACATACATACATACATACATACATACATACATACATACATACATACATACATACATACATACATACATACATACATACATACATACATACACACTTACATACATACATACATACATACATACATACATACATACATACATACATACATACATACATACATACATACATACATAAATACATACGTACATACATACCTATATACAAGCTTACATAAATATATTTATATTTATACACTATAAATAAATTATTACTTATAATTTATTTATAGTGTATACAAAGATTAAAAGTCATAATAAACAAGAAAGTTTCTGTTTGTAAGATTTATCCAATTCAATGTGAGGTACCAACAAGTTTTTTTTTTTTACAATACATATAAGAAAAACAATCTTTATAACATTTTTATTCCTAAATATACGTGCATTTTGTGAAACAAATTCAGATTTTATTTAATTTAATGATAACTTGTTTGAAAAATTTTTTTAGTGCTTGAAATCGTGTTATCAATTTAAATGAAAGGATGGCGCGTGGTTTAAAGAAAATAAATTGTGAACCTTTACCAACAGATTTTGTACTAGACTTTTTTTATGTACAAGAATCTCGAAAACTGGCAATGTTAATTATAGCTATGATTATTATTTGATTCAAATGTTTTAAATATAATTTTTTGTAATAAACAATATTGTTATAAAGTAGTTTACTTTTGATATAATTTTAATATAATACCTTTTTTATATCTAAAATTTTCATTGTCTTTCATTAGTTAAAAATAAAATAAGTTTTTTTTTAAAGAAAATATGGTAAAAAGGTTGAAAACTAGCTGCCGCAATATTTTTTAAGCCAATTAGCTTTTTTAATTCCAAAACTAACCAAATTTAGCCAGAAGGGTAAGTTTTTATAGAAATTAACCACGGTTGCATCAACAAATGCTATTATGCAATAAATTATTATTTTAAACTTATAAATCAGGGTATTTTTTGTACAGCGTTTTGGTTGCGCGCTGAATATAAAAAAAAAAATAAAAAAATACAAACAAGCAACTATTTTTAGGTTGAAACTATATTTCAGTGAGCAAATCCAGTTTTTGCGCTTTTTATAAAACCCTGACCCAAATATAGTAAGTGCTTGAATATCGAATTCGTTTTTAATAGTATTAAGTTATAACAAATTTAATAGTATTAGTTATAACAAATTTTGTTATAATATATTAAAAATAATTATTTTACATAATAAACATTAAATTATTTATTTATCGCAAATTATTATAAGAAAATGAGTATAAACGGTTAAAATAAATTTTATTAATTCGGGTCTTGATTTTACAAGAAACATGAAACCTGGATTTGCTCAAAAATAAGTTATGACCTTATTTTTATTATTATTTTAGGGCGCAGGGCGACAGTTGTTTACATGAAGGTCTGGAGAATCACCGTATGAAGCTGACGTCATAAAATTACTTTTATTTAGATTTTGGGATTAAACTAACAAAGTTTATATTCTTATAAAAAAATCATAGTTATATATATATATATATATATATATATATATATATATATATATATATATATATATATATATATATATATATATATATATATATATATATATATATATATATATATATGTATGTATGTATATATATATATATATATATATATATATATATATATATATATATATATATATATATATATATATATATATATATATATATAAATATATATATATATATGATATATATATATATATATATATATATATATATATATATATATATATATATATATATATATATATATATATATATATATATATATATATATATATATATATATATATATGTATGTATGTATATACACAAATTAACAAAATAGAAACATATAGCATATTCTGCAGATAAAACATATTTTTCTAATTATGATATAAAGTAAATATTTTTCTATATTTTGATATAAAGTAAATATTTTTATATTATATTATATTTTTATATTTTTCTATATTTTGATATAAAGTAAATATTTTTCTAATTATGATATAAAGTAATTATAATAATAAAATAAACTAAATCTGGTTTATTTGATTATTATAATTGTTTTTACACTTGAGTTGAAATTTGATTATATAAATACTCAAATATTTTTTTTACAGAAAAAGGTATAATATGGTGTGCTGTATTTGGGTATTCAAATTGTTCAATTGTGAAAAAATAGTAAATCTTTCTTTCGTTTACCAAAAAAGTTAATTGCAACCAAAGGGAAGATAACAAAATTTTATCAAAGGAACATAAAGAGAAATAGATAAATGCCATATACAGAGTTGGTAATCGTTCTGGCGTCCTTGACACTAATTTGCAACGACCATTTTGTAACTGGTGAAAATTACTTGACTACCTTTGAATAATCTTTGTAACTTTGAAAATGTAACAGTAATACTTGTTTAGCATTTTTTTTACGTAGAAAAACTTTCTTTATATTTCTCAAGAACTGTTTCTGCTAGGTTTCTATCATTTAATCTGAAGCGCAATATATTTTAATAGTTCAGCAATCTAAAGAACATTTACAAAAATTGTTAGCAATTATTTTAAGTCAAATTACTTCTGTCATATAGAAACAGTTTCACTGATTTAAATCGTTCTGAAGATACATTAAAAATGATTTGCTTATAGATTTTTAAACTTTTAAAACTAATGAATTATATATCTCAAAAAATGCAAGTATTTAAACAGATGTGACTTCTTCTGGCAATTACTTATAAATTTGAAATTTCAAAATCAGCTTTATCAAAATAAGAATAAAATATTTAATTAAATGAGCTGGTTGAAATGAACATCAGAGCAACTATATCATAATGCTTCAGAAGATATTTTAACCAATATTATCTGTAAAAATTGATTGATTTAACCTATTTGGAAATAAAGCATCTTATCTATGCACAAAAGCAACAACTCGGTCGTAATACAAACATAATACTGTTGAGTTCTTAGTAGGTGTAACAATGTGTGATAACATTTGTGCCAACAATGTGTGATAAAATTTGTTTCAAAAGCTTTGGTTGGATCTGTCAGTGATATATACCTAATAGAATGTTTTTCAATTCAAAAATAATTTCTTTCTAGAAATAATGTTTAAGGAGATGAGGATTTTAACATTTTTGTTAGTGTAGGCCTTTATTGTAAGAATTGAAGATTCTAAGATTTGCTAAATGAAAACTGTGATAGCTTGTTTTAATGTAGAAATAACCCAAAAACTTATTTTCCATGTAGAGAGAGTTATTAGTGACAATAATATCTGGTTCTTTGACAAATTTGTGATTCTATTGTTCCTTCAGATTGCTTTAGAAACATTTAAAGAATTGCCTAATTAAAATCAAAATTTATTACCAAACTGTATAAAATCTTTTTAATAAAATACTGCTAGTTTTGTCAAGTTATTAGTAGTTTTTCTAATATTTTATTTATTTTTTGAAGTATGTATCATGTTCATGTATCGTGTAAGCATCATGTTTATGCATTATCAGTTTTATGCTCATTAAAAAGTTTGTTTAATTTTTTAATAATCTAATAGTATAAATTTATTTTTGTCTGATATTTCTCTATAAAAATGACCTTGCTGTAAAAATTGTCAATTAGTTCAGGTAAATTTTATTCTTCAAAAATTTGTTTACTCTTTATTTCATTCCATAAATTCAAAATCTGGCATTTATATTTTGAAATACTAATAAATTATTGATAATGTCGAAATATAAAGTTCACAGTAGTTGCTCTAGCGTGCTTAATACTCTAGCGCTACAATTATTATATGTGTGTTCTGTAACACCTTTTTATTTAGATTCTGTTCATTAGATCTGCACAAAAATTCTCCACACTCCCCCTGTATTTAAAAATCCCTTTGCACACAAGAGTAATGAAGTCATTAACTGGCACTGAACCTGATTGTAATTTTTGTATGAGTTTTTAAAAACTATTAAGTTATCATTATTTAAATTATTATTATTTAAGTATAAAAATTATTATTATTTAAACTGTTTTTGTTGTTACTGTTTAAAAGTTTGCCTTAATGGGGTGAATAATTTGCATGACAAACCTGATTGATATTAGCTTTGCAAACATTACCAAATCCTAAAGCAACAATACAACCTGTTTAAACCAAATCTTAGTTTTTATCAGATGTTTTATTTTGAAATTCAATAGTTTTATTCTGCTCAATCGTAATTATAATTTTTTTCTTTTTTCAAGCATTGAAAAGTTGTTTATAGTTTAAATTTATATTGTTCTGGGTTACCCAAGTATAATTACAAGAATGGCTGGTTAAGTTCCACATTGACTTAGCCCAAAATAAATTAATCAGTTTCCTTTTTTATTGAAATAAAAACACCTCTGTTGCGTTATTTTTTTAAATTTATTTTATGTACTTGATTATTTAATTTGTCGCTATGATTTGGGTGAGGTATGTTTATTATTTGCATCAGGCTTGTATTCTACATATTTTGAGCTTGTTAGAAAAAGGTAGTAAAACTATAGGGTTTTTTTCAGTATATATTTTTGAACTTTTATTGTTTACTGAACACTCATATAATAGTATCGCATCAATATGTAAGCAGATTTTTTCCCAGACTAGCTATGCAATTCCAATGTACACACAGTGTACTTTTATGAAATTGGATGTAAAGATACAAAATCAAAAGTGTAACAAAAAAGCTGTTTTTGAATAAATATAAAACTAATGATTAAATAACCTACTCTGCATGAATAAGAAAATGTTTCTCAAAGATTACACCCTCATTGACAAGCTACCTAAACAAATTAATTATAAAAATTGAGAGCTTTATATTGTTTGAATTAATCTTTAGTGACATTGGATTGGAACCAATAAAAAATATTTTACAATATCAAGATAGGTAACATTTGGATATTTACTATTTTGTCCGAGAAATTTTTATCTTAAAAGTATGGGTTTATCTTAAAGATATGGGTTAGCGTTACATAAAACTAGATGTCTGCGTTTTGCCTTGAAGTTAAATTTATACAAAAATTCACAAATCTGAAGACATCGTAATAGGTTTGTTTTTTTACGATTGTTCTCGCTAATGGCGGAATACTTTGTTTCATATAATTAAAATATATTATTGTCAAGGTGAGTGTTATCGGCCTTGTTTGACAAAATTCTTCAAAAGGAACATATTAGAGACTAACTAAATTATTAAATTAGTTATAAAAATTACTTTCAGTTTATTAGAGTTGATATCGCGTTTTGCGGTACCGTATTTTGTGCCAAACCACATATAGTTGTTATCATTTAATTCTAACAACTTTTTAGATTTAACAACTTGGTAGTATGTTTCCCACAGTTATTTGGTTCAGTATTCAAGGAATATTCTCCCCCATCGAAGTTTTAAATAATTCTCCTTGCGCTTTTAAATTCTATAAAATTTATAATAAATGGAACAATTCTTTAATATTTATACAGCATTGGATTGCAGTTCTTCGGTAGGTTTTTTTTTTTTTTTTCAATTTTTTCCATAATGCATTGTAAGGAGTTTAAGTAAAAAATGTTACATCAAGCAATCATTTCGTTTGTAATGAAAAAAAAAAAAAAAATTGTATTTCTAGTAATTAATTTAATATCAGTGAGTTCCAAAATTCCACAGTTAGATTAATTGAATTACTTTGTTTCAAATAGTTATATTTTCTTAATAGGCTAATTCTAATCTAATCATGTCCGCAAAAAAACTATAGTTTTCTTTGTACATAATTAAGCTAGAATATAACCCTTTGATATTTCAACTTCTTTAAGTGAGCATATCTTAATAGGAAAAACAATTAAGAGGTTTGACTTTAAAATCTTCATAAGCTTCAGAAACTTGTCTTGTGTCATGTTTATAATGTTGATTGTATTTGGATCTTTTTAAGAGATCTAAAAAACACTCTTCTTGAATTAAAATGTTTGGGTAATTCAGATTTATTTGGAAATCAAAGCCTTAAATTCCAAAAAATTGAAGCAATTGCTTCACAGTCAAATGTGTCGACTTGCAGTTTTTTTTGCTTAATGTTATAATCAAATTTACAAGATATTCCTGTAACACGAGTTCTTGTTTAAAGATCACTTTTTCTTTCTGTAACTGTTTTTTTTATTGAGTTTTTTTCTGTGTATTTAAAGTTTTTACATCATCCAGCATAATTTTTAAGGATGTCATAATTTTAAAAGTTTGTCATGTTACTTATGCCTATACATAACTTGGACAACTGTGTTTTTTTACCCTAACAACGATGGTTGTTTCATAGATGCCCTTTTTTTTTAATGACCATAAAACCTCTGTCAAGGAGTATAAATGACAATTATTATTGTGTTTAAAGTGCATATAATTTGTTTTTTTTAAAATAATACAATTGTGTTCTTGTTAGTATCATTGTCCCATCGGAAACCCAAATGTTTTAATTTATTTTAAAGATAGATAAAAGTCCAGTTAATTTTAATAAAATTATTTAAAATAGAACTTGTTCCAGATATTTTAAGTTCTTTTTTTTAGTGTTTAGTTTGATAAAGTATTCATTAAAATTAAATTAAAAAATTTTACTGTAGGTTTAAAATCTGTAAATTAGTTCTTGCAGGTTGTAGAACTTGACAAAGTTGAATCAACTGTGTATTCATTGACATCTGTAAATATGCCATTTATTGCCAATCCTTCTTTTTTATTCAAAATAATTCCATTTAGGATGTTTTTTTTTTTTATATATATAGTGTCATATATCTATATATGCTGTTTTTTTTTTTTTTTAAATAGAGTCTAATAGTGTTATTGCTTTTTTCATAACCAAGCTAGTAGAATGGCTATCTGTCAAACTCTTGTGTGCCTAATACATGGAAAGGGACATTAAAACCCCAAAGTTTGCTTAGACCCCACACACTCCTTCACCTTTCACCTCCCCTTTCCCTCTTCCTGTTTATTAATTTTTACTCATTATCAACAAAATAATTACATCTCAAAATTAAAAAAAAATTATTGTTAATCAACCTTAGTAACAAAATATATATCAGTCACTAATTAAAATAAAAACATTCAGTGCAATCAGGCTTTAAAAGTTTTGACCTATAAAATAATCTCTTAAATCTTGATTTATCAAAAATGAACTTGTGGTTTATTCCTCACCATAGTATAAAACTTATGTAAGCATGTATAAAAAATACTGTGCTGTAAAGCCCTGGAATGTAAAAAACGTTATAATTTTTTTCATTTACCAAAAAATTATGAAACCACTATGAGACCTCATGCATTAGGTTTAAAAATTAACACAGCAAATAAAGTTATAATGATTGTAATCACTTGACTTTATTCTTCAATTTGAATTGTTAATAAGTCGAAATTTTTTACTAATGATGTTGTAACTGCATCATCTCTATAAAACAACCTAAAAACTAAAAAAGGAATATAAAGGCATTATTTATTATAGTTATCAATATTAATAAATAAAAATTATTTTTGTAGCAAACATTTTGTCTTTTAATAAATTTTTTTATTTTCTTGATATAGATCACATACACTCTAATAAAAGAAAAAATTCTTGTTCTGAAAAATATGCAAACTATATTTTTTACTGTAAGTAAAAAGCATGTTAAAAATAATCTTCAATAAAAAGTCAAAAGTAAAGAATTCCATGATTTTAGAAGATAATCTTATAGCTAGGTCTTTATTATAAAGCCATATTTTTAATAAGTTTCATGAATAATGTCAAATAGAATATAACAAATCAATGATATAAATAAAGTAAACAATTTTTGCTTTTTGTTTTCTTGTTGGTCTCCAAACCATGCCTAATATCTATCACTTCACAGCAAAGTATTACCACACACTATTTTTAACAAGCTAGCAATATCTGCAAACTTTGTACAATAGTTTTCTTTTTTAAGAATTTTAACAGTAAAGCTGTTAAAATAAATTTTTTCTTTGTCAGCAAAAAATAAACAATCTTGTTTGGTTGGTTTTTTTAGCATGACTGTTTAAATAAAGCATTTATATGCAATATAACACTAAAATCTGTTTCTATAAGACGATTGTTTTTGGACCTGCTGGTTTCTAATGACAACAACAATAGAGCATTCAGGTTTGTTTTAACGTCTGCCTGTCGTTTCAACCTTCTTTGTTTTGAATAGTTCCAAACAAACTTTCTAAACAATCTTGCTTAAAGTGAGAATTGAAAACACAGCTAAACCTTTAAGAGGAAGTCTGAACACAATTCCAGTATACTAGTTATTGTAATATTTAATCTGTAATGTGATAAGGATTTTAAATCATAAAACATTCATTTCTTAATCCAAAGTTGAAATACTCATAACAGTAACATGTTATTTTCCTTTGTTGTTAAATCACATTGAGCAGGTTTATCAGCAAGAATTTTTAAAATTTTTTTAATTACTTTATTAACAAGTTAGTTGTTCAGTAAGATGTCAGTATAACAGTTGACAGTAGTATTTAATTCAAAAAATGATGCAAATGTCTATTAATGTGCAAGACGAATAGAATTGCATTTGTCTATCTCATATAGCATCTGAATGTGATGCCATGAGACTATATTCAAAACATAAATACTTTAGGGATGGCATTTATGGAGAAGGTATTTTCCCTCTGTGCTTGTTAAACAAAACATTGAGCTTTCAAAGTGATTGATAATCATAGATTTTCATCAAGAATCCCTCTTGCACTTGTAGAATTAAGAATAATATATAACTTTAATATCTGAGTAGTGAGTTTATCATTGAAATAACTTAATAATTTTTATGAGCAATTCCACTCAAATTTGTGCAGTTGATTTCAGCACAATATGGAGACATTTCTAAACAATGAAGAGTACTATTTATTAAAGAATAATACATAATAAAACAGAAAATGTTGCAGAGTTTCAGACAAGTTTGTTGTTGTGAACTTATTTCTATTCTACAAGAACATCCCAAAATGCCTTGCGGTACGATTACACCAAGTTTATTAAAAAAAGTAAGAATAAAAAAAAATTTAAACAAATAAAAAATAATTAAGACAACACTCTTTTACTGTATTTAATTTTTTTTCCTTTTTGTTGTGACAAATGAAAAGTGTTATATGCATTCAAAATAGTTAAAAAGTTGACAATCAAATAATTTTTTTAACAGAAATTTATGGAAAAATTCATTTGAATAGAACTTAGATTTTTAAAAACGACTTAAAAATAATTAAAACCCCTTAAAACTATGCAATTCCTATGTTTTTAGCAGTGGAAGGTTACTCAGCTCAGAAACAAGAGAAAGCGTGTCCCTCTTATTTTTGAGGGGGCACGCCCCTCCCCTACATTTTTTTGTGTGGACTTTCTATTTTGTAAAGAAATTGTTGCTTTACATATGAATTGAGTATATATTAGGGTTATGACTTTTTATCATCCCCATGCTCCTGTACTTTGATAAACATTTACCTAAAAAGCACAAAATGAACTATTATTTGCATACCTTTTCAAAAAAGTTTACCCCGCCATTGAAAAATCGGTTTTAACATAATTACTATGATGTATTCAAATGTATTTAGTATGTCATATTCATGTAATACAATAAGTTTTTAATCAAACGATGAATCAGATCGTTAGCCTTGCTCTTGCTTATTGTACAGAAGGAATCGAAGGTGTAATTTGTCTTTATTTTTCCATGATGAATATATTTCCTCCATTACTTTGATTGCGCGCACTGCTCATTGATTACTTCTGGGTATCTACAGTATGTATGGCTCTCACTTCCAGTGATTTTTTAAAGAGCTTAAAGCCTTTTTGTATGGATTCAGTATTTTAGCCAAGTTATTAAAGTCATTTTCGTTGTACAGTTGGTCTGTAAAACCATTGGTCTGCTTAGCCATACAATATAATTTGACAAACTCTCTTTAGAACTGTCCTTGTTGAAGGAATTAAAATGAAGGCCAGGAATGCTAGTATAGCTCTGGGGTCCCACCTCGCATTGCTAATAATGGGTATTTTCTGAAACCTGATCAATAGGAAATGTCCCTTTTCCTCAAAAAATTGGAACACTTGAGTGAGATGAAAGACAAATTTCCTATCATCTCTACAGCCTGATGTTTCAAAAATTACTTTTGTTCGTTCTCCAACGTTGATATACAAATGGATATTTAATGTTTGGCGATTGTGTTTTCTAGGGCTGTACTGGATTTAATTTTTTCAAATCCGGCCGGAGCCGGATTTGCCGGATTTCTACTGACAGATCCGGCCGGAATCGGAGCCGGAGCCGGATTTCAAAACAAAACTACAGGAGCCAAAATCCTGTACATCCCTAATTGGTTTTGAGCATAGTCAACAATGTGGACTATTCAGAATACCAAGTGACTGCTGTTTTCTGTTAAACTTCATTGTTGTTATTTAAACAATTTCTATATATAAACTAATAGAAATTCTAAAGAAATTCTATAGGCCATATGTTTTAAAAGTTTATAGTAATTCTATTAAACTTTTTTTCCGGGATT